TTTAGGGTTTAGGGTTACCCCAAGCCACTACGAAACCCCAAACACCTCAACACCCCAAGTGCGACCAGGAAGCCATAACCAGTCTTGTAATTAACTTGAAAATCTCTTAGCTTGGTCTTAAGTAAAGAAGCAATAGCACTTTTTGAAAATGGTCCTAAACCCTAAACTCTAAGCCCTAAACCTTAAACCCAAAGCCCTAAACCCTAAACCCTGAACCCTAAGAACTAAACCCCAGAAGGCCTCGAATAAAAGAGCAGGATGCCATGCCCTCCGAGACCCAGCGCCAGATCCCAAGAGGCCGACAAGGCCCAAAGGGATCCGTTTAGGGTCCAGGGTTTAGGGTCTAGGGTTTAGGGCTTAGGGTTTTGGGTTTAGGATTTAGGGTTTAGGGTTTTTGGGCTTAGGACTTTTTGGTTAGGGTTTAGGGTCTGGGGCTTAGGACTTAGGAGATAGGTTTCTTTGGGACTTTAGGTTCTTTTGTTTTCCATGTTTACAGGCTTCGGTGATGGTGTTGGATGTTTCACGGTTCATAAGTTCGCCAAAGCTGAGGTATCTTGATTTGTGCATTGAAGGTTGCTAAACCCTAGACCCTAAACCCTAAGCCCTAAACCCCAAACCCTAAACCCTTAAACCCTTAAGCCCTAAACCCTAGACCCTAAACCCTAAACCCCTTTGAAGCTTCCGGCGCTTAGAGCTGCTATTGGGTTCAGGCTTCGAGTTTGGGCTGAGACGTTAGGTCTCTTCTGCAAGGCTGTCTGGTGCTTAGTAGGGAATGGGGGGAATGGATCCCTATGATAGTCCCTTAAGGTCCCTTATAGTAGTCCCGAAAATCCATTATCCCATTCCCTACTGAGCACCAGACAGCTTTTCGGGTCTTGGGTTTCAACCCTAAGCCCGAAACCCAAACCCTTTTTAGGGGCTTCGGGGTTGGGGGGTTTAGGGTTTGGGGGTTTAGGGTTTGGGGGTTTGGGGTTTGGGGTTTAGGGCTTCGGAGTTTGGGGGTTTAGGGTTTAGGGCTTCGGGGTTTAGGGGTTTAGGGTTTAGGGAGGGCGTTTGGGGCTTCGGGGGTTTAAGGCTTCAGGGAGTTTGGGGTTTCATGTTCCTAGACCCTAAACCCTTCAAGGATCCCTGAACCGAACTCTCAAAGGGGAGCCCTGAACCCTAAACCCCAAACCCTAAACCATAAACCCCAAACCACTTTGAAGCTTCCCGAGCTCAGAGCTGCTATTGGGTTCAGGCTTCGAGTTTGGGCTGAGATTAGGTCTCTTCTGCAAGGTGCTGTAGTTTTTTTCCTAAACCTTAAACCCTAAACCCTAAACCCTAAACCCTAAACCCTGGTTTAGGGTTTAGAGGTTTAGGGGTTTAGGAGTTTAGGATTTTTGGGGGCTTTTCGGGTCTTGGGTTTCGGCCCTAGGCCCGAAGCCCAAAACCCTTTGAGGGCTTTGGGTTTGGGGGTTTAGGGTTTAGGGTTTAGGGTTTAGGGTTTAGGGTTTAGGGTTTAGGGTTTAGGGTTTAGGGGTTTAGGGGTTTAGGGGTTCAGCAGTT